TCATTATGTCTAGCTAAGTTAGTTATGTCAAGGTGAAAAGGTTACACTAATGGTGTAAGAATAAGTATAATGTAAACTTAATATGGACTTTAATGTTTGATACTAACATGTTTTGTGTTTGTTATCTTGTTCACTTTTAATAATTTACTTATTAAATGATTAATTTAGATTTATGTTGTATAACACATGGTATAACAAATAGTTGACACTTTTATAGCCCATACTATATGGTATAACCAACACCTGTGTTATGAAAGAAATTTGATTTGTTGTTAACATAAGTTATAAACATGAATGCCTGACAATATTTACAAGTATTAGCATTATTTGAATAAAATAACTAATGTAATCATGTTAACAATTTATAATCTAATTGGAACCTCCTTTGTGTGTGTTTTTCAATTGAATAATAAGAGTTTATACTATACTTCTTTGACATACCATTAGTGGATCCTTTATCCTTGATATTTGTTATTATCATTGTTTAATTTCTATGTTAATCTTTCCTCTCAAAGTTCTCATCAACTTCTTCTTCTTTACTACTACTACTACTTCTTCTTCTATTATTATTATTATTGTTATTGTTGTTATTATTATTGTTGTTATTATTATTGTTGTTGTATTATTGTTATCTATAATTTATACAATTAACCTCCCTGTGGTTCGACCTCGGTCTTGCCGGGTTATTTATTACTTCGACACTCCTGAATTTGGGAGAAGACATCAATATTTTGATCGTGTCAAGTTTTTGGCGCTGTTGCTGGGGAGGTAAGTTGTACAAATTATAGTATTTATTTTATTCTCTTTTCACTTTTCTTGTATATAAATTTGTATCTTTAATTTTGTTTTTTTTATTCTATTCCTACATGTGCATGAGAGTGTGGTCACATACATTAAGTGGTAGACTTTATAGGGTATCTTTATCATTTTAAGAAAATATGGCCAAAGAAGATAATCAATCACTTTATAATAAGAATAATGAGAATAACTGTGTTAAAACACTTAAAGACCATATGAATCCCACAAGAACAAGTTCACCATCATGCATAGTTTTCCCTCCTGATGCATCTCATTTTAATTTTAGGCTAGGCATTATTCAACTTTTACCTTCTTTTCATAGCTTAGATTTGAAAAATCCTTGTAATTAAGAGAATTTGAGGAGGTTTGTAACACATATAATGATTCAAATTGTAGTATGAACACCATCAGATTAAAGCTTTTTCCTTTTTCATTAAAAGATAAAGCTAAAACATGGCTACAAAATTTGAGACCTGGATCTATTCGTGTTTGGGATGAAATACAACAATAGTTTTTAAAGAAGTTTTTCCCATCTTAGAGAACAAACTCTTTAAAAAGAAAAATCATCACTTTCACTAAAAAACCAGGAGAAACATTTTATCAATATTAGGATAGGTATCGAGACTTGTTTTATACTTGCCTTTATCATGGTTTTAAGATATGGATATTAGTTTTATATTTTTATGAAGGCTTAACACCTAAAGATAGGCAAATAGTTGAATTAATGTGCAATGGAACCTTTGAAGATAAAGACCCTAATTAAGCAATGAAGTACCTAGACTTGCTAACTGAAAATGCTCAAAATTGGGACGTTACAGGCATATATGAGGCACCGAGTAAAACTCAACATCATACATCTA